CGATGCATAACAGAGGTCTTTTTCAAATTGCATGATTATTTAATAGACTATGCAGATTGCAAATTAATACTACAAGGAAAGAGATTTCTTGTCAAATATTTTTCAATAAGAAATTGCTAAAAAACTAAGAACAAATACTTGTAAAAAACGAAACAAAAAATTGTAAAAAAATTTCGATGTGAGGAAATACATCAAGATATCCATATTTGGCGAAGGCGGAAACTTACTACTGGTTACTGATAAGCAAATAATATGTAGGCAAATTAAAATAAATTCTCTGCGAAATTTAACATCGCAAGATTCTTTGAAACTTAAGAAAAATGTATCGATTAAGCAAATTTATTGAACAGTACATAAAGTAAAGCACAATGACAGAGATGCTTCGATAAAAATCTGGGAAGCAAACATCTAGAAATTGTTAAAACATTTGTAAATTATATTAAAAGTTTTTGAAACAACCTTATCACCCTCTCATTCTTAAATAAGAAACAAACAGAATGGGTGGAAACAAATCGTATATAGGCAACAAAAATTAAAGTATCACATAAGTTATACATATGTATTCAGCTGTAAAATATGAAAGAGAATCCATGGTGATATGAAATATCCAATGCATTGAAGTGATAATTAACAGAATGGAACACTTGAACATTTTCAAAGAGAACTTAAAATATTCTGAAGTAGTTTTGCATTTCCCGCTACAGTGCTAAAAGCGATCAGCGCATTTTCTGTTAAGCGATATAGTTCTTCTTTTATTTCATTCTCAATTTGTGCGTATATTATGCGTACATTGTACGTTACTAATGCACGCGTGTATAACTATACAAAATATATCTTTTTTTCTTGTTATTCATTCTTTGAATCATACAAGTTCTAGTAAATAAACTAAACATTTATATCAATATTAAGTGCGCGTTTGAAACTCCCCTTACACATTCTATTAAAAACTTAAAAGTTCATATAATCATCTCTTTTATTTTTAATAGAATAATGATTTTAAGCATGCACTTTATATAGTACGAAAATGACTGTTATATAATATGCCAACATGATTGAGAACATCTCCACTATCACCCCAATGAACATCTCTAGGAAAAATTGAAATCTTAAATGCTGAATCATAATTTAACAGATAAAGAAATATTTGTAACATATCAAAATTCTCGTGCTTTTATATTATCATTTATATATGGTATAAACAAAACACTTTGTACTAGTTTTAAGTTTTTCTTTAGAATTTTTTATTAAGGCAGCTTTAAAAATTGCCTTTAATTTTCCATGTAAATGTAAATTTCGTAATTTTAATAGAAACGTATGGTCTTCCGTCATAATAAATTGTTCGCAGCCGTTAAACATATGCACTTCGAAAATTTCTCGAAGATGCGACATGTTAGAAGCAACACAAATAATTCGTAGAAGTCGTTAATCAGTAGTGAGAACTCAGTGAAATTCCACATAGCAGACGATAATTATCACGATAAATTAATGAAATGCTTCCAATAGATCCACCAACGAAAAGGAACGCGAAGAATTTCGCGTACGTAATACAAGCGTTCCCGGTACTCAATGAATGATCCGTCAACAGATTGCGTTCATTCAGAATTATCGAGAAGGACGGAATTGTGAATTTAATCACCTTTCCCTATATCATTCGTGAATATACTCTTTCTGCTGAAACATACATCTGCGAACATTCCTGTTAACTGACTTTTGCATAAGAAACTTTTTTTCATTGATTAAACTGTTAATAACGATAGACATTTATTTACAAGATTTATGAAACATACTTGTACTGTAATTTTCTACTGTTTGCAAAATTGATTACATAGTAATCGCATTTTTAATGAATTCTGTTTATTCGGTGTCGTAATTATAAAATTCGATGGATTTAAAAATATTACATTCCCATACTTGAAGACAACAACTGTTGCGTCAATGTATCCTTGGTATATACAAGTACATACGTATTTGTATGACCGAAATATAAATATAAATATAAAATTATACTGCGTGACATTTTTAAAAACATTCAAAATGTAAGTGTACTTCATCGCACTCATGACAGGAAAAGTTAATTACAATCTTATAAAATGTTTCCAAGGCAGAATTATATCGATATAAAAACTAATTCTTGGCATTAACGCAACATTCGTAAAAGTAGGTTAATTAAAAACAAGAAAAGAAAAAAATGAATGTACATTTCCGCCTGTTAAGGTATTTTTAATTACGGATAAATGTGGATTCAAGGAATATTTATCTATGCAAAGACGATGTCCTGATACAAATGTATGCTATCCAATGAACTTTAAACATGCTTTTCTATTTATATACGAATTTTCATAGTAATATTCCGAACGTAATTAAATAAGGAAAATTGTATTCTTAATGCTATGTCGGCGAAGATGGAATATGACTATGTGTAGCAAAACTTTATATTCTCAGGTAAATCTGCTCCGAATTTACGGTTGGATCGTAGGTACCGCGTTTTACACAACACCTGCAGGATACGAATAAACGCTGTGATGAATCGTTCATTTTAATCACAGGAAGTAATAATTTCGTAGAATTCTTCGCAGTATTCGATATGAAAAACTGCATTTATGTATAAACACTAAATGTAACAGTAATTATAGCGGAACAGATTATGTATTTCATTTATAATGCTACAAACTCGCGGGAAAAATTATGTAAAAGTGTAAAATCGAAGAAAAGGTCAAATAGTTATCAAGCATACTGAAAATCGTTCGTCAGTTATATTTTCCTAAGTGTGTTTAAAAATTGTAATATATCAATGCGTAACATTTACAATGAATATGTTATTACTCGATTGAAATTAAAAAATAAATGAGTAATACTTCTTATTAATTAACTATTGGATTAGTTCATTAAAATAGTGTTAAGAAGCCAACTATAGTAAAATAACGAAATTTTTGATTTTTCATTATAACTAAAGGAAATTACAAAGAGAAATAGCGAAAGTAATAAACGGCAGTCACAGTACAATACAGTGTTTCCCCAGAAAATATAGAAAAAAATTGAACCGACAACAAATGAAACAATAAACCTAAGAAATTGTGCCCTGAAAATTGCTGCGAATGTTAACAATTCTTAAATGATTCGACCACCCAGAATATATAAGAATTTCGCAAAAAAAACAAAAAGAAAAAGGAAACAAATATTGTAGACGAGTAACATGAATAACCCATAAAATAGTGTAAGAAACAAGATCAAAAGATTGCAGATCACATGCATATACATAAAGATGAATTTTTCTTTTCGAAAAAATGTGTTTCTTCCTAACAAATGAATGTAAATTTAAGTTTTGCGGTTCAGACGACTGAATTATAATTTACAAATGGTACTGATTTAAACGTTCAGAAAATTGATAAACCTGTTATAGTCTACGAATGTATGCAACAAAATCCAATAATTCATTAATAAATAAATCTACTTAAAACAGTAAATAGTTTGAAACGAATACATATCCTTTACATATATTGGACGAAATAAATTTCTTATGTGTTTCTATTATTGCCAAAATATGTTGGCAGTTTTGTATCCAATTTTAATGTTATTTTAGTAATACGTGAAGCATTAAAGAGATTCGCGGCATGTATCTGTTTATACGATGCGGTATAATAAAATAAAATATTAAATAAATAGAAAACGAGAAAAAAATTAAATGACGAATATGTGACTGGAATAGTAATAAAAAATGATTCCAAAAATTGTTAATTATATTGCATAACTTATTTAAAAGCCAGACAAGAAGAAAAAATGTTGAGCATTTTATTTTACTGTAAAGTACAATAAATTGAGGTGAATTCCGGAGATTTCACTAAAAGTAATATATTAAAAACTGTAATGAACTGTAATTTATATTTGATTTTTAATAATACACAAACGTAAGCAAGCAGTTTCTAAATTGGTATGATTGTCCGATTTCAGCTTTATATGGCATCGGAGATCGGCCATTCGTGCCAGCTATAAGCTCTCCACTTGGATCCACTCAGCTCGGCGTGGCGCGTCGCTAGGTGTCTTTCTGGTGTAGCATGAAAATAGCCAAGCGTACTTGGAATATCATGCGGCCTACGCGTTAAGCATGCTACAACGGCGTTCACCGAGCGGCCGCCGAGCGTGAGTAAGTGCGAGAGAGCGCGAGAGATTACACGACTCTTTCGAGAAGTGGGGAAAATACGTACTAGGGAAGACCGTTGAAGAAAATGAGAGAGACCGAGAGAACAAAGAAAAGGACAAATCACTCGGAGGAAGAGAAGAGTCTCCGAGCGGAGACAGGTAGATGAATGCGATTCATGGCGGGAAGTTAAAAGACGAACGACACTGTTGCTCGTAAATATACGGGGTCAGAAACGCGGACAGGGATAATCGCGAGAGAATCGCCTGAAAACAGATGGCGAAACAGATACGAGGATTCGATGGATGAAAAGAGATGGATTTGCTTTATGAAGGACAGAGACAGAGGTTAGCGGAAGGGGAAACGGAAGGAGCAATAGAAAGATATTTATAGAAAACAGAAGAAGATAACAGACGGGAGATTCCAACAGTGGAAAGAATGAACCTTAGGCAGACTAACCACGATTATCTGCTTTTAAGAATTAACGATTATCAACAAAATGTTTTCGCAAAGAACAGAAGAGATAACGATGGAAATGAAAGATAATAATCCATTTTTGGAAAACTTGTTGCATTTAAACAATGACACATTTTCAACATTTTTCACTGTTGAACTTGTAAAACCTCTTTCCTGCTCCAATCTTTTTAGAGTTAATACGCAGAAAAGACAGAAAGGAAGATTGATGGAAGGGAGAGAAAGAATAAGAAGAAAACTGGTGGTGGGGGACAGAGGAAAAGATGAGGAGTGAGGAGAGGAGAAGAGAAGAGAAGAGAAGAGAAGAGGAGAGAGGAGAGAGGAGAGAGGAGAGAGGAGAGAGGAGAGAGAGAGAGAGAGAAACACAGAGAGAGAGAAGCTCATGGTTCACCTGTCGTCATGGCAACGCCGCTTCGCCGCTCACTTGTTACTCCATCGGCATAGCTCGACCCTCGGTCCTTTCGCAGCCTCCGCAAGAATACGAGCGCAAGTCACGATCCATCGTAGGAGAGACCGTGATGCAGAAGCTTTCCTCTTACAATAATCCGAAAAATGTCAGGCTGTTGAAGATGGGTGAGGAGTCACGTTTGATTTCCACCCCTCGTTGTAGACTACGTTATCACAGAACACTTACTACCAATCTCGTCGATACATTGACCGATTCTTGCTCTTTCGAGATTCGTTTTCATACGCTGTTTCACTCTATCACTCTACACATTTTCTATGTATGCGTTTGATGTGTGCGTGTGTGTGTGCGCGCGCGCGCGTATATATATATATATATATCATATACGAATACATATGCATATATACACGTATGTAGATACAGATGCGGATGTAGGTATAGATAGATGTATGTACGAGTATATATCTTTCCTACTTTCTTGTTAGACCATCACGACCACGATACTACCGGATATAGAAACGTATCACAGAAGAAGCACAATAATCATTTCGTTGGAAGAAAATGAGAAAGGAGACACTCTCTCCGGTTACTCTTTATTTGCCCGCCCCCCTGGCGCGTACTTAAGCCGAAGTCACTCTTCTATTTTAAGCTCCACACTTGCTCCGTCGTCTGCGTCTCTTGGCTCCCCTCGCTCTTTCTTCTTTTCTTACGGGCGCGCGAGCAACACGGAGAGACGCACACTCACTATCTTTTTCTCTTTGGTATGTGGTGGGACACAGAGTCGCGACTCCTCTCTCGTTATCCACTTACCAGCGCGTCAATCTGTTTGCTATGCAAATCCCGTCCGACCGGTGCTGACGTAGACGGCAACACCAACGCAGAAACGGGTCCGTCGACGATATCTCCTACTAACACATTTAACGGTGAGCAGTTAGTCATTGCCCGCGAAGCACACACGTAGAAAATATAATTGGCTACCACGACGGACCACGCAGCAATTCCACATGGGTTCTCCTTTAGCCCCACCACTGTTCGGCCAACACCGACACCAAGCCCACCACACACACGCACACATACAGACACACACACAACAGTTACCACCACACCACCAATACTACTGACAGATAGTGGTGTTGTTACTACTGCGATTACTACTGCCACCAGTAATACCACCAACACACCGATAACACCGTGTCGGTAAACGCACCGCAACTCCACAAACGAATTCCCCTTGCGATTTACACGTCTTCTTCACGACTCTGGCCTGACGTCATTGGCGCCTAATCGCGACGTATTTCGCGTACCACTTCTTCGCGTACTTTTGTCGGACGTACACCTCGTGGTTCTCTCCGACGATAGATCCTTCGTCGATCTTTCTTTTCTTCTCGGTTTCTTCCACGTAAACTTTAAGGATAAACAAGTTACGCGCACGATTCCAGGAGTTTCGTTCCAACGAGTATTCCAAATTTTTCTCGGTTAAACTTCTTCACGTGAAAGCGATAAAGAGTCACGGAAATCAGTTTCTTCGCTCGGATGGATCGTCGGTCGAAAGCCAACAAATACCAGGTTCCAAACGGACGGCTGTAACGCACCGTAGCGTTCAAATGTTTCACTCATTCATCCTTGACTCGATCGGAAAGGAATTGATCCGATCCTCCATAAGTTAGGATCTGTGGGCGCGTGTCGCGTACCGAGCGTTCGATCTGCGCCACTCACTCGACACAGACTCAAATCGCTTCCCACTGCAATCGCGTTTACTCCGAAACTACTCATCACTCTTCCTACAACATAATTCCCGTTTGACGGCACTGCACGCACTTTCCATGCTCCTTCTTAATCACCACGTCTATCACCAGTTTATTCCCACCGAAAGATGATCGTCGTAGAGCGGACGTGTTGCGAAACGGATATGCGTTCTCCTACCGGGTTTTCAACAAGTGATCGCAGTAGCAGTAACAGCAAAAGCGGCGGCGGCGGCGACGACGAATCGGTAGCTTGTCGTTCCAGGGTCGTTCGTCGGCGTATAGGTGGCACAGCACGCGCATGCTACACCTCCTGACAG